ACGTAACGTCATCTTGCTGCGGTCGGATGACCCAGGCGAATAGTTTGTCGTTGATTAAGGCAAATACAACTACGGGCATGTTGGCAGTATTGACAACCCAGTGGATTTCTTTTGGACCTGTTACATGATTTGTGATATCTGCCTTGGGACGTCTGGCGTACACGATATCTAGCATTGACCGGGCTCGACATTGCTCAGCCACTGACAGAGCCTCGGTGTATTTTTGTTGCTGTATATAAATTTCCTGGAGAGCAGTGAAGCACTCCATCACCGACTCGAAGTATTCTATTTTGTTGTCATCGTCATTCAACCGTCTTTCTCGAACATAAGATGCTATTGATATTCCATGCATGTATGGTGTCCTGGCTTTCTGGAGCAAACCCTGCGCCTTGGACAAAGAGCCCTGCAGCGTGTAGCACCTTTGCTGCAGTTCTATACTTGTCAGCTCAATAGCCAGTTGCAGAGATGCCGAAGCGTGTTCTTCCGCCTCATCGAAACTCCGTTGTTTTATGAAAATCTTCGCCAAATGTTGATGACATAAACACTCAATGGACAGATTTTCAACGTCTTGGGCCAATTCAATTGTCCATTTAAAATGCGAAATGGCGCCCGTTGTAGATCCATATCGCTCCAGAAGAGCAGCATATTTGTATTTTGTTTTGCATAAACGATCCTTGTCTTTTATTTTATCAGCAATATCTATTGCGCGTTTAAAGCATTTTACAGTTAGCTGAAATAATGAGTCAATTTCTGATTCAGAACTAGCCTTCGCAAGTGTTAAGTAAGATATTTCCATTTCCACATCACTAAGACGAATGCGGTCTCCCAAGTTCTGCAAGACGCGTCGGTTTTGTTCAAGAAAACGCAGTGCTCTTTCAGTGTTTCCAACCAGTATACAAGTTTTGCTCATGCACGTCAGACACAAACTCAATATTTCTTGAGAATCGTAGTCGTTTTCATCGAGGGATTCCGCGATTTTTAACGCTAGGGTGGCGTGATCAATAGAATCCTGATATGAGCCGAACTGACGGCGATCATTGGAGATACCAACATGGGCACTGGCTAGCAACAGCTTGTCCCCTAGGTCTTGGGCTATTTGCAGCGCTCTCTCTAGCTCCTCCTCATCCGAACAGTCGTCTCTTTTTGAAAGATGGACATCTTGTTTTAACAGCAAACACGCTGCAACAATGTCTTTCCTGTCAAGTTCTTCGGCCATATCTTCGGCTTGGGATATATAGTCATACGCTTCCCCAAAGATTCTCAGATTGAGGCAAGAGCGACCCAACTGCATCAGCAAGCATGCCGCTTTATCTTTCAATCCCCGCTCATTTGCTACGATCCAAGCCACTCTCAGGTGAACATATTGCTTTTCAAAGTCGTATTTCACATTGTAACACCAGGCAATGGTCTCGTAAAGGTTCATTAAAGCGTCTACCACATTTTCATTAACGGATGTAAGTTCCTTTTGTCGAACCCCGACTTCCACCAGGCTTTCCTTCGCTGTTTTATACAAACGCAATATCTTGTGAATATTATTCAAAGCGTCTGCCAAATTTTCTTCATTGGATATAAGTCCCTTTAGTCGCAGCCCGACTTCCAACAGGCTATCCTTCGCTGTTATGTAAAAAGGTAATGCCTTTGCCTTCTCTCTGTGCTTTTGGGTTTCACTATAAACCACACCCAATGCATGGTTTGCTAAGGCTTTTAAGATGCCTTCGTCTGTCGAGTTGGCATCATCCAAAGCCATGCAGGTATTGTTGTAAAAGTTGTACAGTATTTTGTTAGATGTAGACTCCACGTCCTCCTTCATTGCCAGTAAAGCGGCGGTGTACTCCCCTTGTTGAACGAGGGTCTCGATGTCTTGCAAATGCTGGTTTCCTTCAATAATGCTGGCCATTTTATAGGGGATTGCAACTGTGAAAATAAAAAGGAAATAATATTGTCTTGTAGTTACTCAGAACAGAAAACTAATTTTAAATATCTTAAAGGGATGAGGACTGTTCGTAAGTTATCCATATTTCACAATAAATGCATTGTTAACATCTCATAGGAATATAATAAATTCTATTTTACCACCAAAAACGAAATTATTCTGGAATTTATACTTGCCATCACACCACGTGACCTCCCTAGATGGCTATGCTCTGTAATAATCTCTTAAGAGAATATTACAAAAAAAAAACTTTTTAGTAAAAAAACCAAGAACTAACTTTAAATGTGGGAATGGATTCATTGACCATTGGTAAGTATGAAAAATTGTCCCTTACCCTAGAAAACAATATTTTTGGCTAAAATGAACAGTTGTTATCCCTTTAAATATCATACAGGGTGACCCCACAAAATACCTTCACGTTGAAGGGTTTTACAAGTCGTAAAAAAGGAAAAAAATAAGCACAGTATCAAAGACTTAAACTTTAAATTAAACTCAAATTGTAGTACATAACCATCTAAGGGTTCAAACAAAAACGTAAACGGCAGCTCTAAAAGCGTATTTGTTTCATGTACAAGCGACACTCGTGCTATATTTTTAAGCAAAAATCACTTAAAATGTGTATATACTTATTTAAAGGCTCTTACCTGTTTTAAAAAGGAAATTTGATTATTGCCTTCAGTCTCAGCTTGGATGTCCACGGCAAGAGCTTCCGCATTCACTTTTGCTTTGGCAGGGATTTTTTTAGTTTCTGTACGTACTATTGTGTTTATTTTGCGTCAAAGGCTCAAACAGAAATTGGGAATTTTGTCAAGTTTTTTCAGATCAATATCAGCTTTCAAAATCGATATCATGAGTAATCCGTAACTTCCGGGTAAAATCCGAAGAAGCATTACCTTTAGAAAACACTCGTTTGCCGGAAATAAGGTGTAATATGAAATCATGGAGAAACAAAATGCACACGTAAGAGAAGGTAAATGATTTCCGCAAATGAACTACATGTACTTTTTGGCCTTAACATTATCGTTGAAGATTTAAAGCACAATAATCATGTTGTACAAAAAGGCCAATTTCACTTAAAAACGCTTCAACAAACATGCAACTACAGTATAAACATATAGCTACAGCGCTTGCACTTATCTTTTTCTAATACAACTCTACAATTTACATATAGTCTAATAGGCCCTGCAGGCAAGATAGGGGCCTATTATATACATTCTGAAAGGACGCAGTTGCAGGCATGGGCGTCCGCAGAAAATTTTTCAGGGGGGGGCAGGGGTCAAAGTCATTGAANGGGAGATAATGATTGGCTGGGTACCGCAATAAAAATGCAGTCTCAAAATTCTAGTGTGGGGAAGGGGGGGGGTTAAGCCCCCCCCTCCTGCGGACGCCCTTGTTGTAGGTGAATTAAGCAAATATCTGTGACGCGCGAAGCTCATTTACTACTACTGTCTAGTAATCATGTGTTCTGTGCTTTCTATGACTTAAGCCCGTACCTGCTTTAAAGGGGATCAAATATATCCTTCAGTCGCATTTTTGATATTAACAGTCAGAGTTTCCACATGCAATTTTTTCTTTGAAAAAGGCCGATGGTTTCTACACTGTAAAGCGTGATCGAGTCAAAGGCTAAAAATAGATGTTGGGAATTTTATAAGGTCAATTGACGTCACGATCATATGATCAGATATCGATATCGTCAATCCATAGTTTTCAGGGAGGATCTGAAGAAGCAGTGATATTGCATGTACATGTGCCCCTGGAAAGCAGTTGTTTTTCGGAAATGAGATCCATCAGTTACTGGGGTAGTTACTTCCAGAGACAAAAAATAATTCATTAGACCCTAATACACACTAATAAAGAAAAGCTAATGCTTCTTGCATGGATACCACGTATCATGTAGGCCTATGAGGTACCCTGTAGGTCTTTAAAAGCTTGTAATACTTGATGTTTTAATAATGTAACCATTAGAAAATATTAAAACGCAATAATTTAGCCATGTTGTGTACATATTTTAATTTCACAAGTAAAATATTTTTTTGTGATTTGCAGGATTTTCATCTTTGCGTTTATTAATTAATCTATAATATTATTATTTTATTTTTTTATACAGGACAGGAAGTCTTTTTAATTAAACGCACACTACCAGTGGCGGATTTAGGGGGATGTCAGGGGGGTCATGACCCCTCATCCTTCGATTTCTGAAAAAATCACACCAAAGGTTTCCTCTTCAAATTAGAATTTGGACTAGCTGAATCATGGGGAGGGGAAGGGTTGGCATCCACGGACCCCCCCCCCCCTTCAAATAATCCTGGATCCGCCCCTGCATGACTATTGGGCACAGTTTACAAAACAAAGCTTTGGCAATCAGGCACGTACCCAGTACTACAACAAACTAGTACTTAGTAGGCCTAAATTATCAATAATAACAAAAACTTAATGAATGAAATAAAAGAATAGAAAACTGGAGAAAAAAAAAACAAGATAAATAAATAAATAAGGAATAATGATTATTTATTTATTTCTCAAATGTTAAATAGTTAGATGAATTAGGCTAAGCACATACATATTTATTAATTTAATAATACGTATTTGGTAATTAATTAATCAATTAATTAATTATTATATAATTAATCAACAGACAAAAAAACACAGATACCCCAGATTGGATTTGTTCATAAAATGTTGACGTTTTGATGAGGTATAGATGGTGCGACTTAAGAATATCTCCTGTATGTAAATAAAACACGTAAACATTGAGATAAAAGAAGCAAATTCATATTAATGCGTTGCTTTGGATCAGTTTTGTTGGAGTGAAACCACCAGCAGGGCAGACACAATCTCGCGAGACTTTCCGATATATATGATGTAAACAGCCGCCATTTCCGAGAGAGTGGAAACTTACAATCCTTCGAGGTTTACTGTTAATATCATGTTTCTTAACTCCTGAAGCTTAGAGTATCTCTGGCCATCCACGTTTTACCATAGGGCTGTTATATATACATGTATAACACACGTGTGTGCACAAAATATTCAAATATAATATATACCTGAATGAAACAATGTATATTTATTCTTTTGTTGGCTAAAACAGTATGACCAAAAAGGTTTCATTTAAAGATTTTATGAAACAAACACTTTTTCCTTTTGAATTTCATTCTGACTTAAAGCTCCCGAGGAACATTTATTAAAATATACATAGCTTTAAAAGTTTTTTTTTTATTTACAATCTTGTTGTCACTATTGCAGTGTTGAAAAGTTTGTGTTCTAAAGTCGTTGCCTAGTCGTTGTCGGAGCTCCGACGAATTATATTTGACATTTAATATAATGGTGAGGGTTGGCTAGCACTGACTGACTCTATACCCTTAAGAATTTAATTTGGGGTTTCAACGTCGAGTGCAGGGCATATTTCTTTAATCATCTGATAGTTTTAGGGTGTCCATTAATTTACCAAAATTGCGTCGAATAAAAAGTGCGTAAAAGGGAAATCTTATAAGAGTAGTAAAACTTAGTATTGAATACATTGGCATCAGTAACAATATATGATCATGATGTTTTACAGACGTCGGAAGAAAGTTCCCTCTTGTCTCTGATACGTGCCTTCTGTTTATGACGTCATTAAAATCACAATTACAGACTGACGTCTCGACCAACTATTGTGAAAGACGCCCATTCGGTGCGTGGCCGATCTTGCATGGTTTGCATGGCATTCCTGAGTGCACGGCTGACTGTGTTTCTCGCGATAAGATCTTGATAGAAGCTGGTCATGAAGGATTTGGTCGCTTGGTCCGGCAGTTGCCATAGTGCCACTACCACCGCCTTGGCTCCTACAAATACAATGTGCATTTGCATGTTTTCTTAACAGTTAATCACTTCCCTAGGCCAGAAAAGGATTGTTATATGAAAGATCTGAGAACAGGAAAAGAGAATGCTTACGTCCAAGTGCATTTTAAAAATAAAAAGCAAAATTCGCCAATATTTTATTTTTTTAACATCAAAGTATTGACTAAATGATTCATTAACATAGTATAAATGGTCTAAGTTACTCTCTGAAAACCTAACTGGAGACTATAAAGCGCACCTGCTACTAGGAATGCCCTGGACAGTCCTACCACGCCCTCGTTTCTGATCTCCCCACTTCCGCTGTGGCAGGCACTGAGAACAACAATTTTAGCTCGTAGTTTTATCCCCATCACCTCCTCTGCAGTCAAGTAGACATCCTTGCTGGATAAGGTCCCGTCCCCTGGCGACCTGTCGGGAGACAAAACCAAGGCTGTCTCGGACCAGCTGCCATGACAGGCCACGTGGATGACGTCAGCACGAGGTAGTTCCTTCTTGACAACGCTAAGTCGTGCGCGGTCTCGGAGAAGAGGTTCCGTGCCTAACATTTCCGCGATAAGAATCGCTTCATCTTCGGCACCAGGTAACTTGCACGGTGTCCATTTTTGTCCGCAAATGTCGATTTCCGGGACAGAAGGATTACCCACAACTAGTGCTCTGGGCTGTGTGTTCTCTTCACTCGAAGATGAATCTTCTCGAAGGGAGTGGGCTAAAATCTCCAACGATGGCATAACGGTGGCACAGTAATCATTGATGAGGAGAGCTGGGAAAGGCACCAAATGCAGCTGAAGGTCGGGTATGATGACGATGTTGCTGTATCGATCGCCATCTTTTTTCAGCATTTTTAACACGGGAACAAGGATGACGTCATACCACCTTTGAAACACTTTCCTCAAACCGTTGCCTTTGGACGTTAAAGTGGCGTCATGGGTGCTAGAAGAATCGAGCGCGCTGTCCAGGCTATTACGAGTATGACCTGACCAAGCACCCGTAAGCATACATCTCCAGTTTACGCTTGGGATGGTCTGATTCCCAGCTGGGGATGGTGGAGAGAGTGACCGCAGCACGGAGAGCGCACTTAATAGCCCCTTGACGTCAGTGTCCGGGCACGTGATGGCATAGTCAAGAAACGTAACGTCATCTTGCTGCGGTCGGATGACCCAGGCGAATAGTTTGTCGTTGATTAAGGCAAAAACAACCACGGGTACGTTGGCAGTATTGACAACCCAGTGGATTTCTTTTGGTCTTTTTATATGTTTTGGGACATCTGCCTTAGGACGTCTGGCGTACATGATATCTAGCATTGACCGGGCTCGACATTGCTCAGCCACTGACAGAGCCTCGGTGTATTTTTGTTGCTGTATATAAATTTCCTGGAGATCAGTGAAGCACTCCATCACCGACTCGAAGTATTCTATTTTGTTGTCATCGTCATTCAACCGTCTTTCTCGAACATAAGATGCTATTGAAATTCCATGCACGTATGGTGTCCTGGCTTTCTGGAGTAGACCCTGCGCCTTGTACAAATAGCCTTGCAGCGTGTAGCACATTTGCTGCAGTTCTATACTTGTCAACTCAATAGCCAGTTGCAGAGATGCCGAAGCATGTTTTTCCGCTTCAACGAATGTCCGTTGTTTTATGAAAATCTTCGCCAAATGTTGATGACATAAACACTCAATGGACAGATTTTCAACGTCCCGGGCCAATTCAATTGTCCATTTAAAATGCGAAATGGCGCCCGTTGTAGATCCATATCGCTCCAGAAGAGCAGCATATTTGTATTTTGTTTGGCATAAACGATCCTTGTCTTTTATTTTATCAGCAATATCTATTGCGCGTTTAAAGCATTTTACAGTTAGCTGAAATAATGAGTCAATTTCTGATTCAGAACTAGCCTTCGCAAGTGTTAAGTAAGATATTTCCATTTCCACATCACTAAGACGAATGCGGTCTCCCAAGTTCTGCAAGACGCCTCGGTTTTGTTCAAGAAAACGCAGTGCTCTTTCATTGTTTCCAACCAGTATACAAGTTTTGCTCATGCAAGTCAGACATAAACTCAATATTTCTTGAGAATCGTTGTCGTTTTCATCGAGGGATTCCGCGATTTTTAACGCTAGGGTGGCGTGATCAAAGGAATCCTGATATGAGCCGAACTGACAGCGATCATTGGAGATACAAACATGGGTATTTGCTAGCAACAGCTTGTCCCCTAGACCTTGGGCTATTTGCAGCGCTTTTTCCAGCTCCTCCTCATCTGAATAGCCGTCTCTTTTTGAAAGACGGACATCTTGTTTTAACAGCAAACATGCTGCAACAATGTCTTTCCTGTCAAGTTCTTCGGCCATATCTTCGGCTTGGGATATATAGTCAGACGCTTTTCTAAATTCCCTCTGATTGAGGCAAGAGCGACCCAACTGCACTAGCAAAGATGCCGCTTTATCCTTCAATCCCCGCTCATATACTACGACCCAAGCCACTTTCAGGTGAACATATTGCTTTTCAAAGTCGTATTTCACACTGTAACACCAGGCAATGGTCTCGTAAAGGTTCATTAAAGCGTCTACCACATTTTCATTATCGGCTGTATGTTCCTTTGGTGGAACCCCGACTTCCACCAGGCTTTCCTTCGCTGTTTTATACAAACACAATATCTTGTAAATTTTATTCAAAGCGTCTGCCAAGTTTTCATCATTGGATGTAATTCCCTTTTGTCGCAGCCCGACCTCCAGCAGGCTATCCTTTGCTGTGATGTAAAAAGGCAATGCCTTTGCCTTCTCTCTGTGCTTTAGGGTCTCACTATAAACCACACCCAATGCCTGGTGTGCCAAGCCTTTTAAGATGCCTTTGTCTGTCGAGTTGGCATCATCCAAGGCCATGCAGGTATTTTTGTAAAAGCTGTACAGTATTTTGTTAGATGTGGACTCCACGTCCTCCTTCATTGCCAGTAAAGCGGCGGTGTACTCCCCTTGTTGAACGAGGGTCTCGATGTCTTGCAAATGTTGGTTTCCTTCAATAATGCTGTCCATCTCTGTAGGAGAATGCAACTGTGAAAATAAAAAAAGGAAATAACATTGTTTTGTAGTTACTCATAACAGAAAACTAATTTTTAATCTCTTAAAGGGATAACAACTGTTCGTAAGTTATTCATATTTCACAATAATGCATTGTAAACATCTCATAGGAATATAATAAATTCCATTTTACCACAAAAAAAAAAAAAAAAAAAAAAAAAAGAAAAAAAGAAAAAAAAAACGTGGTCAAAGAAATTATTCTGGAATTTATACTTGCCATCACAACACGTGACCTCCCTAGATGGCTATGCTCTGTTATAATCTCTTAAGAGAATATAACAAAAAAAAAACTTTTTAGAAAAATAACAAGGACTAACTTTGAATGTGGGAATGGATTTATTAACCATTGGTAAGTATGGGGAAATTGTCCTTTACCCTAGGAAAACCCATTTTGGCCAAAATAAACAGTTGTTATTGCTTTAAATATCATACAGGGTGACCCCACAAAATAAACAAAACCCATAACAATTTGATTAAATCCTACAAAGGTTTGTCAAATTATAAGCAATTTTCTCGATTAAGTTTAATATATGTAAGAGCATTCCCCAAAGTTCCAGTTATCTTGTTTGCTTTACATGAAAGTTATATTCTTTGAATAATATGCTTCGAAGGGCCTTCTATCACACTTCAAGGGTGGGTCTGATTTCCAGTTTAGGTATACATATGTTTACAAGTAACTTGTGATAAAAGTCGCGAATGCAAGAGAAATGTGATCAAAGACCTTTTGTCAATTGTTTCAGACATAGCAACAACTGTCTAGTAAGGCTAAACTCACCCTGAGCTACTCAACCTCTGTCATCATTATACATGTACCACAGGGAGGTGGGGGGGGGGGAGCATCTTACTTAATGAGCACAACAGGGATGTGAAACTAACAGGTTATCGTATCCACCACAGATAATGTCTGCAAGCAGACCGCACATTGACTGATAAACTTTCAGATTATTTCTCAAGCTACTGACAAGGGGACTACCGAACTTCGGATCTGCATGCAAATTGCTGTTAAGTAGCACAGCTGATGTTTTTTTTTTTTTTCTCAACAAAAAATGCAAGAAAGCCCATAATTTCACGTTGAAGAGGTTTCTTGCATCTCGTTAAAAAAGAAAAAAGCACAGTATCAAAGACTTAAACTTTAAATTTAACTCTTATTGTGGTATTTGTTTCATGCACAAGCGACACTCGTGCTATACTTTTAAGCAAAAATCACTTAAAATGTGTATATACTTATTTAAAGGCTCTTACCTGTTTTAAAAAGGAAAATAGATTATTGCCTTCAGTCTCAGCTTTTATGTTAACGGCCAGAGCTTCCACATGCCACGTGTTGAGCCCCTCCCCCCCTGCGGACGCCCTTGTTGTAGGTGAATTTAGCAAATATCTGTGACGCGCGAATCTCATTTACTACTACTGTCTAGTAATCATGTGTTCTGTGCTTTCTATGACTTAAGCCCCTACCTGCTTTTAGGGTGATCAAACATATCCTTCAGTCACAATTTTGATATTAACAGTCAGAGTTTCCACGTACAATTTTTTCTTTGAAATAGACCGATGGTTTCTACACTGTAAAGCGTGATCGAGTCGAAGGCTAAAAATAGATGTTGGGAATTTTATAAGGTCAATTGACGTCACGATCATATGATCAGATATCGATATCGTCAATCCACACTTTTCAGGGAGGATCTGAAAAAGCAGTGATATAACATGTACAAGTAATATCACTGCTTCTTTAGTGATATTACTGTACATGTACATGTGCCTCTGGAAAGCAGTTGTTTTTGGGAAATGAAATCCTTCAGTTATTGGGGTAGTTACCTCCAGAGACAAAGCTGAATTCATTAATACACACTAAAGAAAAGCCAAAGCTTAATTCTTGCATGGATACCACGTATCATGTATGAGGTACCCTGTAGGTCTTTAAAAGCTTGAAATACTTGATGTTTTAATAATATAACAATATAAAAATGTTAAAACGCAATAATTTAGCCATTTTGTGTACGAATTGTAATTTCACAAGTAAAATGTTTTTATTGTGATTGCAGGATTTTCATCTACAGCTAGGCCCTATGCATTAATTAATTAATCTATATTATTATTATTTTACATTTTATTTTTTATACAGGGTAGTTTTTTTTTAATTAAACGCACACTACCAGTGGCGGATTTAGGGGGGATGTCATTTCGATTTATGAAAAAAATCACACCAAAATTAGAATTTTGACTACAGTAGCTGAATATGGGGAGAGGGGCCGGGCTAAGCATCCGCGGACCCCTCCCCCCTTCAAATGATAGTAGATCCTCCCCTGAATACTGGGTACCGTTTACTAGGGCCCAAAACAAAGCTTTGGCAATCAGGTAAGTAGGCTACCCAGTAGTACAATGAACTAGTAGGCCTACTTACCCGGTACATGTAGTAGGCCCAAATAATCAGTACATGTACTTGTAGGTGCAGATAGATCTTGATAACCACGGGGCCTACATATATTTATTAATTTATTAGTATAATCAACAGTTTATAAGACAGATACCCCAGATTGGATTTGCTTACCAAATGTTTACGATATGATGATATAGAGATGAAAATATCTCCTATACATAAAGAAAACACACGAATAATGAGATGAAAGAAGCTTGAAGTGAACCGAGCAGGGGAGACACAATCTCGCGAGACTTCCCGATATTTATGATGTAAACAGCCGCCATTTCCAAGAGAGTGGAAACTTACAATCCTTCGATGTTTAGAGTTAATATCATGTTTCTGACTCCCTGAAGCACAGAGTATCTCTATACTGATATCCAGATTTGATGGTGAGTTTCAAGTCTTCGTTGGATGGACGATACCCTTAAAAGTGTATTTGATATTTCAAAACTAACCGGAATCCTTGGTATTTCCGAAGTCACTTCAAGAACCAAGAAATGCTTACAGTTACAAGTATATTTACAGAGTAACGCTATAGGGAATGACAATGCAAATATTCAATGGAGGTAAACATTTATTTACAAGTTTATATGTTATCTGGTCGACTTAAATCCGTATATGCTTGTAAATAGTATATTCTTTAAGTTACATTTTAGTGCCCATAACATTATGTCCCCATAACAGCAAGAACTAGGATGTGACCGAGCGGCTCATAATGAAGTCCTAGCTGTCTAGTACTATAACACCCGTCTAGCTGGTTGTCAGCTATCATTCTGTGTGTTGTAGACATCTGTTCAACAGTTCAGTACACGATGTTCCAGTTGGATGACACAGATGACTTGGACTTTAGCTTGGAGGAAGGGGTAAATATGTAAAATATCATATGGCATAATGTTTAAAATGTGACAATAAAATTAAATCAATTTGAACTCTGTGACTTGACTTTATCTACCAGAAATGTGTGTCATTTGTTTGCTACTAAAACAATTTGACTTATTAAAGTTATTTACAAAGAATGATGAGATAATTGTTTTAAAAGGCAGTCACATCTCATGGTTTAATATATATTTTACTAGTTGTATTTAATTAACTGCTAATTGTTTTCACAACTCATATCAGCTAGGTATTTTTTAAATATGTCATAAATGTGTTCATTTGATTAGTAAAATGAGACCATTTATATGATATACGACATATTGTAGAGAAAACATTATCTTAGTGTTCTCTATATTTTAAAGGACTTCCTCAGTGCTGCGTTCAGCACAACCAAATCAACTGTGCAGAATAAAAAGAGAAGTAGCTTTGAGCTTGGCTATGGGGATGGTGATGACTCTGGCACAAAGAAAGCTAGATGTACAGAAAGTGGTAGAAGAGGTACAGTAAAAAATTTGTGATAAACTCTGGGGTAGCGCTAACACTCGCCAATTAAGCCAAATGCTAAAACTGACTGAATTTGGCTAAACAAAGTAGGGTTGATTTGACTGATTTTAGTCAAATCTAAACCATTTGGACAAAAAAGCGATGAAAAAGTAGTAATTTGGCTAAATGAAAAAAAAATTGCTAGTGCCACCCCAGAAACTGATATATACACAGTTTGTTTAAAATACAGGAAAAATTCTTTGTTTGGTGTGTAGCCCTTGGCTTTGTGTTGAAAATTGTTGATCTTAGAGTTATTATTTAAGTGGTATTTTTCATTTTTGTAATGCCTAAGCTCCTCTCGTAATCTGCATGCTCCTTTAACCCTAGCTTTCCTGTGCTTTTGTCAGTAGTCTGAGTGCATGTGCAATTAGACAACATACCTAGTAGCATAGGCCTTTGTGAAAAATATCGATAAATTATTTTAAAAAAATAATAGAAATAATGATGATACTCTCTATATATTAAGGCATTTTAAGCAGTCTATGAGAACACTGATCTTGTCATATTAACTCTTGAGTGTTCTTTGATTCTTTGTAGTAACTGACCCTACATCATGTGACCAGGGACCTCACACCAGGGGTCAGCACCGTCCAGGACCAGAGGCTGTTCCCAGTGACCAGAGAATTCAAACTGACCAGCTGCAAGCCATGAACACAACCACAAAGAAGAAGTTCACATTTAAATCTCCCAGAGGGATTCGACCGAGTTTTAGTTCTAACTCTGCGACTGTTCCCTCCAACTCTGGACTGAGTGAAAGAATGCCATTGCCTTCCATAGTTACAGACTTTGATGAAAGCACTGACCACAATGGATCAGCAAAGTTAACAGGGTCTGGAACCCATGGAGAATATACAAAAGATGGAAACACTAGTAAGGCCCATGGCTATGCTTTAGACAGCTTGACAGCAGAGGAGATAGCAGTGTCATGTGACCTGGACCAGTGGTCAGATGATGACTGGTCATGTGACAGGAACTTGAAGAAGAGTGGTATTCTGGGTAATGAAGGTGACCCAAGCAGCAGCTGCAGTGGACAGAAGTCGGTGCTGCCTTCTATAGAAAAGAAAGTTTCTGAAAACGTTAGAAAAGCTGGTGAATTGGGAAACAGGCAGTCTGATAATTCTCTGTCTGGTATTAAATCTGATGGCAGTAAGGACTGTAAATTTTTAGCATCATCTGAAACTAACAGATATTCTTTAGGAAAGAACGCAGTGGTAAATTCCATTCATGAATCAGTGTCTGCGAATAAAGAAAGTTTGGATTCATCATCATTTAATGGCGTATCACCACAGACAGTGCCGCACTGTTCTGGCAGGTTAAGACCTCAGACAGTAACACCATCTACCAGTAAGTCATGCTCAGATACTAAACCACTGTTCAAAAATGCACTGGGTTCACAAACATTAGAGACACCCACATGTAATAATAAATCATCAACAATTCAGTCATCTAGTAATGGTTTGAGATCACAGACAGTTGCTCCCTCTAGCAGCATGCTTAGACTGCAGACAATGGAGACATCTGGTGACCCGTCCACTCCACAGAGAGTAATGCCATCTATCAAAAAGTTGGGATCAGAGGGCCATACGCCATGGGGTGAAGTGCAAGCATCTTCAAAAAAGAAGAGAAAGTTTCCAGGCCCAGCTGGGCTTCTGCCAAAGTTGGTTAGTAGAGTTTTGTCAGTTAGGGTGCACATTTTAGCCTTATTTATTTATTTATTTATTTATTTATTTATTTGTCTGTCTGCCTGTCTGTCCGTCTGTCTGTCTGTCTGTCAGTCTATCTATCTATCTATCTATCTATTTTTGAAAACATTTTAAAAGTAATGGTACAATTTTTTAGGATTTATAATCTTACATATTTTATTATTTGATATTTGCTGCTCAACTTGTTCCATAAATTTTTTGTCTGAGTGTTTTAGTCTTGAAACTACCGGTAAGTAGACCACTAACTGCAGAGAAAAAAATGAAGTTGGTCATATTTGTTTTTGCATTTGGCATAAGTATTGTTTTTTGGCTATTCTATTTCAGAGTAAGGAAGCAGGTCTGTCTGATACCAGGCTTCCAAGTCCATGTGTGCCCACTGTGGTTGCTAAGGAAAACAAAGTAATAAACTCTGTTACAACTATTGTTTCTTTAAATCAACAGCTATAATCAAAATTATTTCCATTTTATTTTGGCATCTCTCAAAACACCTATAGGTGGAGAACTAGTCTCAAGTGGTTGATTTATTGGATAGAAATGCTTCACACATACAAACACTAACACACGAGTAGGCATTTGCTCAAATTTTGAAGCATTTCAGAATGTATTTGACTTAAGACAGAAGACTTGACGGGCTGATGAGATAGTTGTATAGAAGTAATTATCCCCCCTTAATCAGCAGAGCATCTTGAGTAATGTCAGGTAATTTTACTGCCAAGAGTCTATTGTAAAATTAAATATTTAAATGATATACGAGTCATATGTGTTTAAATTCGTGTTTTTGTTTTCCTTGTAAAATCCATGCACTATATGTTCTCATCTCTTTTGCAGACGCCCCTATTTCCCTGCAGCCAGAGTTCACAGGAAGTGTTTGGTGGAGCCACCTGGAGGGCTATGCTGCTTGAAGTGGGCAAGGCTGACTACGCCGCCATTGCTGCAAAATATAGTCTTGCAAATATTGTCAGGAAAGTAAGTTGTTTGAGTTCAGGCAAGCTTTTCTTCAATCAGCAACTGGGGTTATGCAGACACATCCTTACTGTTAGTAAAATCTCTCAAATTCCAAATGTGAAGTGATTAATTGAATTTATTTATTTATTTATTATTTTTATTTTTTTATTTTATTTTATTTATTTATCTTTTTTTTTTTGGGGGGGGGGGGGGGGGGACTCCAGAGCAAATTTCTATTATATATATTACTCATATTTGAAACACACATTAATAGGAGTTTAATATAAGTTCTGGAAAAACCTCATCACAAATTAATATTCTTAGCTGCTTATGAGAGACAATTTCACATATTGGACAAGGGGTTTAATGGTTTTTATGTAAAATGGCTATAACTTTTTCATAATTTTGGTTAAAAAAAACATCTTGTTATTTTAATTTCAAAATTTCCAAAAGTAAACCCTCAAAGGTTACACATAATCACATAAAAAATTGAATATGTAAGAATTATGTCTGAAGGCTAATTTTAAATATTGTAAAGGAACCTCATGAGATATGTCTTATATAATGTTTGTCTTAATTGTCTCAGGCCAGCCAGAAGCTGTTACCAGATGGTAAGGTTCCGGTCGTGTGTGCTGTCATAGAGTCTATACAAGCAAGAGAGGCAGAGGCTAGTCTACAGCTTAGGGACCCATCTGGTAAAAATAGTACACAATATATTCAGAAATAAGTTGTTTTCATTGTTACACTGCTTATTATTGTTAATGAGAACAGATCTTTTGGTGAAATTTGTGTAACAGTGGTTAATGGTACTGAACTTGCTGAGGGTCGCAGAATTTGGGTGCATTCAAGTTTTTAAAATCATTTTTATTTATTAATTTCTTTATTTCTATTATTTTTTATGTATTATTATAATTTTTTTTTTTTGGGGGGGGGTAGTTTGGGTAATGTTTTTTTCTGAACGATGTCACCATTTATGTGTGTCTGTGTGTAAACATACCTGTAGAGTATAGGATTCAGTGTCACTAGTGTTAACATACAATCTTGTACCACAGGCACCATCCAGGGCACAGTGCACAGACAGCTGGTGAAGGAATACGGCACTCAGCTCCAGCTGGGCTCTGTGCTGGTATTGCGTCAGGTGAGACAGCACATCTACTGCAATGTTAAAGCAAAAGTCACTTGTAGTGCAGACTGCTGTAGATTTTAAGCTAGCTAAGTTGTTAAAATGNAGCTGGGCTCTGTGCTGGTATTGCGACAGGTGAGACAGCACGTCTACTACAATCTTCATACACTGAGGCTTCAGACACCCTTTCCCTAAAGGGCCTATTTCAAAATATGTCTTAAAGCAAAAGTCACTTATAGTGAAGACTGCTGTAGATTTTAAGCAATCAAAGTTGTTAAAAGGATTTTAAAGATTATTCTGACAATCATTTTGTGGCAGTTCAGAAATATACACCATTCATAGTCATTAGTAATATGTTCTTATACCAATGTTGCAAAGTTGACTTGCCATAGTTGGCTATCTGTTTAAAGCTGTCTTGATCTATGGCTAGGGTTCTGGCATACCAGATGAATTCCTTATTGGGGCCTCAGTCTAAGAGCCAAATTGAAGATTTTATAAAAGGAAAATATAGTTTTCTATTGTGTGGTGGCACACAAAACTGCTGTATCTGCTCACATTTCTCACAGCTCAGCTTGATCAGCGTTTCCAGGCTTTGTTAAAGTCTTTTTATTCCACTAGCCTTTGGGGATACCAGGGTTTATTATCTAGAATCCAAACCAAAACTGTGGCCAATAACTGCACAAATTCACATAGTTTTACTGGCCAGATTTTAATTGTACTGAGGTCAGTGCTCCATGGCTGGCTTTAGCATTTGGTAAAGTGCCAGTATTAGGGTCACGGGCTGTAAACTTTGCTATCTTCAGTCTCTTCGGTCTGTTTTTCATTATACCTATCTTGACATGGGTCATTCTTCAAGATGAGAGTCAGACAGTGCAAGTGAAAAATAATTTCCTGACACAGTTTTCGTACAGAAAAAAAAAAGAAGAAATGGATCAGGAACCTTTCTGTACCAAGATGTGTTTCCAGATAATGGTAGAAATTGGTGATGGTATCAAACATGTCAGCTTAAGGTATTTTTTATAACATGCTCTGTGGGAGTTTGGGAAGTCTTTAAAAGGGAATTATTGTCTTTCAATGTGGAGAAGTTGCTGATCCATGAAAGTATCACATCTCCAAAATCCCCCAGACATATTATTGTTGTGTCAGTGGATACATAACTGAAACCAAGTTGATCTAATTAAACATTTAAAGTGTCATAGCATCTTCACTTTTTGTCTGAAATTGATGTTTTAAAAGCAGAAAAGAAAATGGTTTTGTGGCATTTACAGTAATTACTTGATCTTTACAGTGCATTAAAGTTATTAAATTTTCAGATACATTATTTTAGAATAATAAAAATATATTTCTGTGTAGCATCTGTGGTGCTTTTTCTGTATAATATAGAACTAACTATAAGGTAGCCGGCTTTTCAGTTTTGTGGCTACCAGTCAGGGGGAGTTTTCTAATTTAAAGAATATATGAGAAACTATGAACTGTAAAAGTACTGTTAAATTCACAATTTTCCCATTGAAAAGGTAGAGTCATTGCCATATATTAGTGCTAGAACATCTGCGTTTAATCATTGACAATTAATTATTGTTCTTATTATCCTAACTGTAGCTGATCAAACCAGACAGTACACTTGAAATCAAAGTCGGTTCCCTAAGTCCTTGTTTTCTTTGGTGAGGTTAAGTAAGGTCTTAAATGGATTTTTCTTTTCATTCCCAGAGCTGCTGTCACTTTCTGTTCAGAGAGCTGTCTTATTGTGTTGACTAATGATTGCTAAGTTCTCATCCACAGAGTGTGCTAGAAAAAAAAACTCTGTAAACATGTAATGGTTTTTGGAAAAAAAAAGGAATTGCCTCTGTATTCTGAAGTGTTGTTCGCTTTGCTTCTTCTGCCCCCTCACGGCAGATAAGATATTGATAAGAAGTCTTGGTAATTGGGATGGGAATTCTAAAGGTCTGGGACTAATATCATTTGATAACTCGTAAACAATATGTAAAACATGGCATTCTATAAACAACAACAGTATTAGCTGGCTAAGATAATAGGATTTGGAATAGATTTTGATGAACGTTTAATTGCAATCAAGCTGATGTGTACACAGCTTATAAGGGGGATATTTAGGGTTGTGGAGGAGCAAGGGTGTCTGTAGTTAAATCCTATTCATTTTGACCACTTTGAATACACTGTATTCAAACATTAACATTGAACAGTATTTATTGGATGGTGCATCCCAGAGATTTGGGTTATTTCTCCCAAGTGACTAGATTAAGGACTTTGGCATTACTGAACCTAATATCACATAAGCAGTTGTGGACTTACAAGCAATATAAAGCAACATGTAGGGCAGATAGTGGTTATTATGAGAGTGACTGAAAGTCTGATTGCACAAAGTTATACAATTATTACACTGAGTTCTGTTTATTATCTTTACTCTTTAGACACATTTGTATCAGGAACAGTTGTATAAAATGAACATTCAGAAACAGTGTTCCACTTTTCTTTTATCGGAGCATGTCAGTATGTTTTTTGACTCATCAGTTGATATTGATTGAAGCAATGTTTTTTGATTATCAAGAAGCTCAAGAAATGCTCTTCTTTGATTTCTTATTTTACAATATGTGCAGTAGATTTAAAAAACATTCTCAACAATGCTTCATTTTGTGGGGAAAAAAACAGCTAGACTGGCTTTTTAAATACCCCTGCAAAAATTTGTCTCATTTAACATTCACTTACAATTCTCAGTCTATTCTAGAACATTTGGTGTATTTTTTGTACAGGTCTAATGTTCTTCTGTAATGAATGAAATAGTTCGAGAACTGTTTTTGGGGAAGTCCTTCAGAATGTTCTAGAACAGGTTAAGAACATTGGTTATTAAAAGAGAAAAATATTATGATCTAGGACAGATTGAGAACCAAAAGTGAGCATTAAATGAACAAATTTTCACAGGGGAAGAAACCAAATAATTGTAATATTTTTGTTGTCACTTCCAGGTGGGAGTGTTCAGCCCCTCAGCCAGGAACCACTACTTAAACATCACCCCCAATAACCTGGTGAAGATCTACAGTGGCAGCAGCGGTGGGACAGGGGAAGGAACAGACATTGGTGGTGGCAGCGGTGGGACAGGGGAAGGAACAGACACCGGTGGTGGTGGTGGTGAAAGTGGTGATAGGATCCAACGTATTACTGTAGCCTGTGACCAGAGTCTGAAGGACATTGTGCAGTCAGGATTAAGTATCCCTAGTGTGAGTAAGGTGGTACATGGAGTAGCACCAAGAGGTGAGGGTCAGGTATCTACTCAGAGTAACTCTGGTCAAGGGGCACCTGTTACTAGAATTGGACTTGGTCAACAGAGGCAGACTAATGACTGGTCAAATAGTAATGGTCAGCTGTCCAGAACACATCAGATAACCACTGGTCAAGGTTCGCCGACCTTAAATAGGCAGTCACCATCTTCAAACATGCAAAGCGGACTAAGGCAGAGCAATAACTGGAGGACTAGAGTGTCTTTGACTCCAGGAACAACTAGCAATATCCAATCTCCTACCACAAACTTATCATCACTCCAGGCGCCATCCATTGCTGCAGCACATGTTGTTGGACAAAAACAAAATCCTGCACCGTCAAATGTGCAGGGCAGCCAGTTTAAAACTGTCAGAACTTTTCAATCAGTTGATCCCAATTTGACCTCTGCTACAAATAAATCAGAGACGATGCCAGTGAATAGATCCTTGCCTGGTTTTGGTGCCAAAATGAATCAGGTTCGCAGTGCGCTGAACTCTCCCCCTGGACCAAGACAGCCCTTGCAGGGGACCACACTGAAGACATCTAGTGGTGGGAAATTTACCTTTAAAAAGACCGCAGGAGGCACAGGGAGTCCTGGGGGAACTAACTTGTCACCTGGGTCGCTTCAGGGCCAATCTGTGTTTAGTGACAATCAGAACTTGTCACCTTCATTGGTTCAGGGCCAAAAGACTGTGTGCAATAAAGGGGATTCGTTTTCTAACAAGATGGCTGCCAGCAAGGTTGTGGGAGTGCCTTGGGGTAAACCAGTTGGACAGAAGACTGCGGAAGATTTATGGATGGAGGATGGTGAGGCTATTTTACTAGATTTTCTTTTTTCTTTTTTTTTTTTTTTTTTTTTTCTTACATGATCCCATTCAGGTAGACCAATCGCACTGGTTGGGTTGGTCCAACTCTGCAGAGGATTCTCGCTAAATTCCTTTAGTGGAAACAGCTTAATTGTGTAACAAGCCTCCTTGAGCAGCTATGGGGTAATTAACCCAGATAAAATTATCCTCTAGCTACTTCAGGAGGCGTGTCATTCAGTCAAGCTAATTGCATTAAGCGAGAGACCTCTCAGAGTTGGACCACTCCAACTATTACAACGTGTCTATCTGAATGCTACCTATGACTGAATATTTTTAGTCATCCAATAGATATGAATGAAGAATACAGATATAATCAGATACGGAAACTTACTTTAGCAACTGACCGAAGTTGCACGATCAACCTGAGACTTTTCACTAGTTAAATGACCTGCATGGATTGGTCACCTTATGGGGTACTGAAGACTATTCATTACCTGGGGAAAGGTCTCAGGTTGGGACCTCAATGTTAATGTAAGTTCCAGTATGAGAGTTATTCATAAGCCTAGTTTGAAGTATATGTTAATGTGGATTAAGATTCAAATACTATTTGGAAAATGCAATTTGAACATACATTTGACCAACTGCAAGAAATTCGTTTCAGAAAAGTGAGACCTTAAATACATATATCGGTCTCACTTTTCTGAAACGAATTTCTTGCATTTCGTCAAATGTATGTTCAAATTGCATTTTCCAAATTATTATTATTATTGTCTGACTGGTAGAACGACAATTTCAGTTTGTCTGTTGCCACCTCTTTTGATACAGACTGGTATTATAGAAAAAAAAAATGGAAAAAGAAATCCTTTTACTTCCTCACAGGAATGCTTTTAACTCATTGCTTGATGATGCAATTGCTGAATAAGGTTATGCTTGTAACCATTCTACAGTCACAGTCTCTTTGTGTAAAGGGAATTTTGTTGAAGTACAGAGAATTGCGTGCAATTTTGAGATAAGATTTTCATGTTGAAGTGGGAATGTTTGGGAATCTTGCAGTGCTGTGATTACATGTAAGATTACAACGCCAGGGATCTGACTTATGCCATTCCACTGCTTAATCAATACTTTACTGTGATTCTTACAATCTAAACACTGATGCCAATTAAGAAAAAAAAAAATCGGATATTGCATTCAGTTTTGACAATGTTTTTGTATGCCATTGAAAGTAATCAAGAGTAATATCATCTCTGGTGATAACCCAGTTTAATTCAGCCCTTGACTACATTCAGGTTTTAGCATAGATTTACCTGATCGGATCTGACCCGCGTTGATTTTTCATAAATGTGATCCACTATAGATAAAAGTTGTTTTCAATATCCAGCACATTTCTTTTCAGGAGGCATAGAATATAATTCTCTTTTCAGACAAATTGGATGGGCTGCCTTTATGAAGTAACAAACTTGATATGCCGTGTTGTTTCAGTTCTCATTTTTTTTTTCTTTTCAGACAACTTGGATGAATTGTTGTGTGGGCTAGGTGATGACAACTTCTGATTCTCCAGATGGACATATCCTGTGTCATCGTGTTGATGCCATTCCTGTTAAACAGAGATTAATTGTTGTCAAACGCTACTTCATATCCTGAAATAACCTGTATTGAAAATGTTGACAGAATGAGAGAAGAGCATGCAGTATCGACGCCTTCATTTCAGTTTCTAGAAACTGTATCAAAAATTGAGGAAGTACAATAGGATGGTTCTATCTTTTTACACGGTGGTAGGATAATTGAAGAGCATTCTTTGTGCCTGCGTCAGTAGTTATGAAGTGCCATACATCTTTGACCTGAGGGGATGACCTTTTGAAGGTGTGCCTATAATTAAATGGTGTTTTTTTAGTGCGAATGCCATCGGAACTTCTCACTTATTCCTATAAACGTCTGTTAAATGGTCAGCAGCAGGCAAGATATTGAAAAAGGTGAAGGAGTGTTAATAAATTCCTCCCGTGTTTGAAAATAAATGGTGCAATTTGACACCTGTTCCTGAGGGTGTTAGCGTGATTCTTTTCTTCTCTTGGAATCTGTCTAGGCTATTAGAAATCTTGGAGAATTGAAAATATTTTGAAATTAAGTAGTTAGGCTCATGTGACCAAAAAGATAAGACTGCAAAGTTGATCGTTTGCATGATGGACATTTTGAACGGGAACTTTCTTTAAACGTACTTTAGTCAGTATGCTCGTGTGGATGCCATGTAAAACCTCAGCAACGTAGAAAACCCATCTTGTCATTACTCTACACCAGAGTGCATCTGGCTTCTGAATTTCTGTGCAAAATTTCTCACAGTACAGGCACCTGCAAAATCTGCCAGAGACATAATATGTGAAAATATTCCTGATGCCCTGATGGAGGGTATTTTGTAAACTGAGACTAGTGTACCAGTTAGGGAGATAGCTCTCGTGTTCAAGGCCTGTAAGGTGAGGCTCACACCTTAATTTCAAACAGGTGCTTTAGTCGGGTGCTGGATCAGTGGTTGAAAGATTACTGAAAATGAAAACGATTGGTTTTCAAAAACGTACATACAGTACAGATCTAGATATAATATGTAACATAGAATGTGCAAAAAATAGCATGTTGACGCTATCAAATTTATGGTGCTTAGAAAGAGAGATCATAATTAAAACTGAATAGTTAAATTCTGATGTAAAAGTGTGTTTTTCTGATGGATTTGTCAGTTTTATTTCTTGCATAAGTCATTCCTCGTGGCTTTAAAGTCGGATTGGCATCACTACTTTGTCGGTAACCTCACAAGGAAAGAAAGTCGAAAGGGGGGGAGGGCATTCACTCTGTGTACCGCTATACAGAGACTTGGAAGACTCGATATGGATTGTCGACTGAAAATAAATGCTTTTACATATCTGATCATATTTTATGGGGCGTTACCGAAAGACCCATGTGACAGAAACACCACCCTACTACGCTGCAGACAGATTTCTCCCGCGGAGGGGCGTAGCGCTGTGGGAAGCTTGAAATTTTAGTCGTTACGTCACTGCCAATACTACCTTCTCATGAACACTTCCCGGCTTTCTGCAAAAACACGAAATGTGGAGAAGTTGTTCCACAAATATCTGCATTAAGGAAACTGCACTTTCGCTTCATTAAACAACCCATCTCGAGAATCTTGCTTTTCTGCCTCTTAGCTGACACACCCCATAAAACCGTCGCACCGCCGGAAAGTGTTCAGACAACGCGATGATCGAATTACCGCAAAAATGGATGAGGCAGCACGCTTATGAAGCCGTCACAGTGGAAAGGGTTTTGTGACAAAATGCTGGAATCGGAGAAGTGAGCCTATGTAACAAAAGATTGAGCTTTTCTTGCATAACACTCGTAATATTTGTCTTATTTTTTAAAGTTATGTACTTTAAGCCTTTTATTGCATTTGTTTCGCACTTTATTTTTTTTAATTTTAATTTAATTTTATTTGATTATTTATATCATTATTTTTTATTCTACTTTAATTTGAATTTCAATTTGTTATAATTACAAAGATACACATACAGCCGCCGAATTTTCTGTTGCCCAACTAATCACTGATGACACATGGTGTGGATAACACACAATTAAAGGAAAAGATTCTGTGAATGAGCCCCTAATATACCCTCCTATTACAATTAAGCCTTGTGTTAATGAGACCCTAATATACCCTCCTATTACAATTAAGCCTTGTGTTAATGAGCCCCTAATATACCCTCCTGTTACAATTAAGCCTGGCGAGATGCTCCACCGAGAAGTGCGATTAATCAGGGGTTTCCTAGAAAGACGTCTCTGTAATAAAAGTAAACCGACTCTCGGGGTCATCTGGAGAACGCTAGAGGTGGGAGAAAGAAAATATTACTTAATTTCCTCGACGTCACCGCCCTGATTGATTTAGGGCGGGTTTACACACAGCCCGAATGGATCACACCCGAGACAACCCAGATAGCTGAGGCACCACTGTGTAAAAATTATTCGGCTATGATGCAGGACTCGTCAATCTGATGAAAGTAATAAAATTCAAAGATGCGTAAACAGAAAAAAAGTGCTTTGATGTTCAAGTGAAAACCAATTTGTATGTGATTAAATTGTTTCATGGCTTCTCTCTTTCTACGACATGCAGTCACTGTGTCCCGTTGAAGCCCGAAATGAAGTAGCTTGCTTTCAGTTGGTACCTTGGTCGAGCCTGTTTCTCTTTAGTAAACATGCCAAGGGGATGTACAGAAGACGTAATCAACTGCACTTCTAGCAGGTAATCATATTGGGGCCGTGTACCGAATTTTTGTGTTATTAATGCAATCAGCAAATTTTCCGGTCGTCTTCCTTAATATTTGTCATCGTTTGTAGTTGAAAACGCAGAATTATCGTTACGTTATACGTTTTTAGATCGCTTTTTGTCTGGCTGCTTGTTTTTTTTTTTTTTTTTTTTTTTTTTTTAAATTCTTAATTGGTGTACAAATACAAATTTTGAGGAGTTGATCTTGCATTCTTCACTGGGTGTAGCATACTTTTAGGATAAATGAAGAATCTATCTACGAAGAACAAAGAATGATTTAAATGTGGATAGAAATATCGTGTGCAGCACCTGAAATATTCGTATTGTATGATTCAATATCAAGAATTAGGTGGTGGAAAGCATTTAGGCGTGTGTTCGTTTTTCGCTAGTGTTTCAACGTTGTGCGGAATTGTTGCTTCTGAAAGAGGATAATTTGAGGAATATTTGTGACTGATTTCAATGAATCACCTCACGCTATACTGTTGGCTTCAAAACCTGCAGAAAAACGAACTGCTCAACTATGTACAATGTCCCGACGTCTATACCCTGAGATTTTTCCCAATCTGTTACTGGACAGAGAGTATAGCCTAGAATGGCACGAATAATAACGCATTGTGGTTATTAAGGCATAAATAAAACGAAGAGCACACCCCAATTTATAGTAGACAAATTGGTATAATAACATTTCAGTAAAAAAGAATGTACACATGGAAATTAACCCCTCGTTCCATAACATATTCACACATCATTGGATTACGGAGTCGTAATTCTCAGCAAGGGTCAAGGTTCCTCCATTTATCATTGTTATCGAACAGGGTGATCTGCTCATTCCCTTGAATCGAGACTTGCAAGCGACTGCCAAGTATTTTATACACGATTCTGTCTATCCATCCATCCATCCATCTTTCTATTTAATTTTATTTTTATCCTGTTATGCTTAGATTTCTTCCGCTAAAGGCTTTTTAAATTTACCAGTTATGCTTTTTTGAACATGCAGTGTATCTCTCTCTCTCTCTCTCTCTCTCTCTCTCTCTCTCTGGAGTTGTTTTGTTTAGACTATGTGTTCGTCTGTTTCCCACATCTAATAATGATAGATCAAGCACCTAACATTCATGTGCTTGGGTCCCAGATGAAGACATTGATAACTAATCTGTGTTTGGTTCGACTTGAATAAAAAAAAGATATATAGATATACAACCGTTCTTGCCTGCGACGAAAGTACAAATATGAATGATAAATGAATTGAAGAATGATGCAAGGCACGGATTTAATCTTAGCATGTCGGCGAATTGTTTCCAGCCTCTCTTGGGACGTGATCTACAGAGGTGATTACAGTTTATTAGGACACGAAAAGAAAAAAAATGACAAAAGTACAGGATAATTTTGATCTGTGCAACTCTCTGCTAGCTATAGTAACAGTTGTGGCTGTTTTGTAATAATATTTTGACGAGATTTGCCCTTCAGAAAGGTGAATGTTGTCTACAGAAGAAGTTTTATTATCACAACAACAAGCGCTGTGTATGTAGGAAACATTCATCTTTATTGAGAACTTGTAACTGAAGTGATCAACGTTGATTTAGATGCTGTTAAGAAAGAATGTACATGTAGGTCGAGACAGACGCTGTTTAGGGTTACAATTGTACTTTAAAAGTCCGTGCTTTGCCAAACTAGTTATAAACTGAGCACGGTAAAAAAACAACTTTAAATTTTGGAGATATGATGTAACGTCTTGACTTTGATTTGTCGTTTACAGTAAAAAGCAGCTTAATGTTAACATTATCAAATTGCAATTGGTTGATCATCCATTGTATTAGTCAAATTTGTCTTTGAGGAAAGTGTCGCTTTCTGGCTCGGCCTTTGGGAAGGTTGTAGGACTGGTTGTAATCCTCCACTTCCAGTTTGTAAATCAAAGTTCCATATAATCACGACAGAGTGCTGTTAACGTTTTAAACAATCATTTGCAAAGAACACGCACACGCAAAGCAAGAAGTACATGTACAACTCTTTGCACAAAGCAAAGAGACGGAAAGGAGTTATCTTTCGAAAAAGGAGAAGATGGTTTGTTTAAGAACAAAACATTTTATTAAAATTGGCCTTCGTAGTTAATGAGTAACAATGTTACAAAATCTGTCGGAGAGATAATCCCCAAGCTGTAGGAATGGTGGCTTTGTTTGTTATACTATTTTTATACAAATACAGAAAATCAGACTAATAAACTTCATCATTAAGAGGAACTTGGTAAGCCCGGTACAAGGTTCAAATTTAGTAAGAATAATTAATCGTCTTTACACGCTTGCAGCCTACACAATGCACGTGCTCTAAGCTGCTTTTTCTACCTTTTATTCTTGCTTAATAAAGGTTATAGCGAGAAATAAAGGTCGGTGGACTTTAGTCACGAAGAGACGGAAAGATGGTTTGGATATTGTATAACATATGATGTGGGCGAAATGACGTGATAACAGAAATGCCAAATTATTAACCGTCAGCATGACCAGTTAATTTCTATACGTGCGTCACTACGCATCGTGACTACACATTGTGCATGTTGAAAGTGTTCACCATTTCAGTAAATCATCATCATCATCATCATCATTTAGAGCCTATAGTGTTCCACTGTTGGACAAAGGCCTCAGCATGCTTTTTCCATTGTTTCCTATCCTGAGCCTCGGATTTCCAGTTTGGCCAAGGTTTCTTCTTCCAAGACTTCCAGTAGTCATCTAATTCATCCCTCCATCGTTTGACCGGCCTTCCTCTTTTTCTTTGTCCATACCTTGGGGTCCATTCTGTAAGCCTGATTGTCCACCTATTGTCCTTCATTCTTTTGACATGTCCTGCCCATCTCCATTTCGTTTCTTTAACTGTGAGCAGTACGTCCTTAACTTTGGTCTGTTCACGTAACCATACATTCGTTTTCCGCTCTCTTGGACTGATGTTCAACATAATTCTTTCCATCTTTCTTACTACTTACTACTTGTAGCTTGTGTTCCATGGAGGCATTCAGTGCCCAGGTCTCTGAACCATAGGTGATTGCCGGCAGCACAAAAGCATTGAACACTTTCTTTTTCAGGCAGGTAGGAAGGTTGCTCTTGAAGATGTCATTGTGCTTCCCATATGCTGCCCATCCTGCTTTTATCCTTCGTTGGATTTCTTTCTCCAGTGTTCGATCACTAAGGCTGAACCGTTGCCCAAGCTACTCTTCTACTGCTTCTATCTCTTTGGTGTTGACCTTCACTGTGCAAGGGGTGGTTAGTTTTCAGTAAATCACCTTTTTAATTTCAGACATGCAGGTACACACACACACACGCACACACACGAGAGAGAGAGAGAGAGAGAGAGAGAGATTGGAAAAGTA